TTGCTTGTATTTTTGGTCTCATATCTAAGAAACCTAATTCAAGGTCACTAAGATTTATCACTACATTTTCTTTTAATTAAGAGTTTTACAGTTTTAATTTGGACTTTTATGTCTTTGATTCATTTTGAGTTAAATTTTATATATAGTATAAGGGAGGTACTCAACTTCATTCTTTTGCATGTCAGTTGTCCAGCACCATTTGTTGAAAAAAAAATATTATTTGTCCCCCATTGAATTCTCTTGACAACCTTGTCAAAATTCAATTGAACAAAATAGTGATGGTTGCTTTCTAGACACTTCAATACTACTTTGAGGGAATATTACCTTATGTAGCATAAGGAAAGATCTCTTTAAGGTGACATTTAAGCATAATCCTGGATGTAGTGAGGAAGTGAAGCATATTCAATTCTAGGGAAAGAGCATTCTAAGTAATGAGAACAGCAAGTGCAGAGAACCTAAGGTAGGAATGAGCCTGGTGTATTTGAAGAGTATGGCAAGGAGGCCAGTGTAGCTGAGGTAGAGTGGGCAAGGATAGCAGATGAGGTCAAAGTGATAAGAAAGGAGAGCTGGTAGAACCATAAGGACTTTGCCTTTTACCCTATATGAGATGAGAAGCCACTGGGGGCTTTTGATGAAAAGAGTCATGATTCACTTATTTTTTAGAAGATTTACTTCAGTTGCTGTATGAACAAAAAAAGTACAGGGAAGAAAGGTTATAGGAGAGACCATTGGGAAGGTTATGGAAAAAATCAAGGCAAAAGATGACAGTAGGATATTAGTGGTGGGGTTTATAAGAAATGACATTTTTTTCAAGTATGGATGTGAGAAAAAGGAAAAAAGAATCAACAATAACAATTTTTTGGCCTGAACAACTAAAAGTTTTAGTTGCTTTTTACTAACATATGGATGACAGTAAGGAATAAAAGGTTTAGAGGTCTGTGTAGAGAAATATGGAGTTCAGTATTAAACATGTTAAGTCTGGGTTATTATTTAGGCAATAAAATATGAACAAGCAATTTGATATGCAGACCAGGATGTGGAAGAGATGTTAGCTATCCTCATTAAAGCTTTGGGAATGAATGATATTAGTACTATCAGTAGAAGAGAGAAGTCATCTCCTAGGACCCTGAGCCCTGGGGCATTCTAATGAGATTAGTGAGGTGGAAAGGAACTGACAAATAGGTCTGAAAAAGAAAAATCTGATATCCTTGAAACCAAATGAAGAGAATATCGGGATAAATGACATCTACCAATTGCTGCTGCTAAGTTGAGGGCTAAGAACTTCAGATTTGGCAATTCAGAACTATTTGATACCTTGAAAAGTTTTTGTGTAATGATGGGAAAGACTTTACATAGTTTCAAGGAGAATGGAAATGAAGGAAGTAGAGACAGAGTACAAACTCTTTACGGGGTTTAATTAAAAGAGGCAGGGCACAGAAATGTAGCTGGGGGATGAAACTTTTTAATTTGTTTAAGTTGGTGACAATCTTAGAGCAATTCTGTATTCTGATGGCAGTGGTCTAGTAAAACAAAATATGAAATGCTGGAAAGGGAGACAATTACTGGAGTGATGTTATGAAAAAAGCAAGAAAAAATGAGATCTAGTGCACAAATAGAGGGAATGGACTTGGATAGGAGCAAAGATGGTTCTTCCACAATATTGAAGGGAGGCAGAATATATAGGTAAACATACAGTTAGAATGACAGATTTGCTGTATGTTGACATTCTTTTCTGATTGCTTTATTTTCTCAGTTAAAGAGAATGCATTATTGTTACCAATTGAGTGTGAGAACAGAAATGGGAGATATTAGAAGTGTAATATGTTTGACTTCATAAAATATTCAGTTTATAGTTTAAACAATAGGCAAGTAAATAACTACAAAATTTGTTCAGTGCTATAGAAACAAATAAGATATTGTGATAGAGGATAAAGGGATTAAGCAGATTTAAATAAGGTGAACTTTTTGATCAAAAAGCTAGAAGAAAGGATTTTTTTGTTGTTTAGAAAAAGGATTTTAAAATATTTTTGCCCCAAAAAAGTGATAAATGCGGGGGCTTGGGCTGTGGCTCAGCGGTAAAGTGCTTGCCTAGCATGTGCGAGGCCCTGGGTTCGATCCTCAGCACCACACATAAATAAATAAAATAAATGTATTGCATCCAACTACAACTAAAAAATAAATATTTTTTTAAAAGTGATGTTTGTGAAGAGATAGATATGTCTAACCTGATTATACAATGAAATCATGTAATGAAACATCACATGGTATCCCATTAATATGTACAATTTTTGTGTTTTTCTTTATCAGTTTAAAAACAGTTTTTAAATGTTGACATATGAAAAAGCATAAGGGATACAATAACAATCATGCATCCATATTTCTACGACCTAGAATGAATGGATGTTACTGCTATTTTTGCTTTAAGCATTTTTAAGTTAAAAGCAATATAAAGGATCTGGTAGACTTACTACATAATCAATAAATCAGTATGTACTTAATGAATGAATGAGTTCTGTCAAACATTAAGGAACAAGCTAGCTTGCCCAGGAAAAGCTCAGGCAATAAAAATTTATATACCTTTAAACTCTCAAAATTTAAAGTTAGGAAAAACTTTAGTTTAATTGCTTACCTAAAGGATGAATCTTCTGTATAACAATCAACTGCTTGTTTTTAAAAAGTCATCAGTGACAGAAATCACTGCCTCTCGAACAGTCTATCTCATTTTCACATAACTGTTAGAACAACTGAACGATTATTATTGAATTTTAGTTCTCCATCTACAGATCTTAATCCTCTGCTTACATTCCAAAAAGAAAATTCACATATATTTTCTGTCCTGCTATGGTACTTTAAATATCTGAAAGCAGCTAGTAAGCTTCCGAAATCTTCTCTTCTTCATACTAAAAATCTCTACTTTTTGTTATTCTACATATGACATTTTTCTTTTGAGACCCTGCTCTATTCTAGTTGCTCTCCTCTCTCTATATATTTGTTCTTCAATATTCTTCAAGTGTGGTATGCAGAACTAAATGCAATACTTTAGCTATAATCTGATGATTACCTCTTTTCTGCAGCTTAAGTCTAAACTTCCTGGAAGTCCCATTCCAAAACTAAATTTTCAGCTGTCTATAATATTTTAATCTTTTATATTCACATTATTTTTTTATTTAAAATTTTTAATTAGTAAAATAGCAGTTGTGTAAACTGCTCTGACTCTGATCTTATCTGACCACATACTGGAGTGGCAATAGTTTATAAAAGGACTTGGGTGAGAACAGTCAATATATCAGTTCCAACAAAAATGCAGATTAGAATGTCTAAAGTTGAGTAAATGAAAATTTAAATGGAGCAAATTAAATATTAGAAATCATATGAGCCTCTCCATCAAACAAGTGAGGCCTCCTTTAATAGTCTTTACCATAGCCACTTGCAATCACAAGAAAATTCATTAAGACCAATCATGTTGTGCAACCCCTAAAGGAAAAAACTGAGGAAACTCATGGGTAATTTTCAGAGCTTCATTATAAAGTCCACACTATTAAGCCACAGCATTCTCTTTGGCTCTTTTACAGTCTGGTACAGCAGATAAGATGTTTCCAGCTCTAATAGAGTATATTAACCCTGCTGGTGTGAAAATGTCTAGAAAGTAGTGGGGTGGTCAGTCATCAGATAAAGTATTGCCAGTCCTCCTGGAGTCTTGTTACTGGTACGCACGCATGCGCTCTTTCTCTCTCTCTCTTTTTTGGTGTTGCTGGGGATTGAACCCATGGCCTTGGGCATTTGAGGCAAGTACTCTACCAACTGAGCTAGCCCCCTTCTATTCTTTTAGCTGGGTGTCTCACAGGTTCTGAAGCATTTACTTTGAAAAAATTAGTGTGTTCAAATATAGTCCATAAGGATGACAACAGATATGCAAATTATCCACTCTTAAATTGGGGAGGGAATGACAAAGTGAAAATACAGTACTCTTCCAATGCTCTTTAATTGGAATGAGTCCAATTTAAATTCCTTAATGAGGATCCATTAATTTGAAGGGACCTCATACATCCAACTTTTCATCTACTGAATTTAATCTTGTAAAAGCTTGACTTACTGTGTATTCTTTTAAGTTATTTCTGAATCTTTTCCCAAGAGTCAACAATCCTCTTAATTTATCCTATAAATATGTATGTCTGTTTTATCTTCATTCATTAATAAATATAATTAATTAACAAGATTGGTTCTAGGCAGAATTCTGTGACATACCACTGAAGTCTTCACTTAGGTTTGCCACTAATCTTTTAATTGGTTCCTTTTGGCCCATAATCATTTAACTGTATAGGATTTAACTTAGTGATAAATTAATCTACCTTACATTTATCAAAATTTCTAAACTAATACAAGAGCTTACAGTGATCACTGTTCTCCATTTAGTTTTCTCTCAAATTTTCCTTTAGTTTGAAACATTAGCTTTCTTTATTAAAAACCAAAACATTTGATCAAATAATTGACTTTAAAATTTTTAGTGTCCTTTTGGTTTACCTTGAAATCTAACATCAAGGAAACAACGTATTCTATGTGAATAGAGATATGGGTTTAAAAAATATTTAATTTAAATTATATACTTCAATCTTGGGAACTTGAAATATCACATATTTAGCATAAATTGTTGATTCAATTCCAGAGTTATTACAATCCTTAATAAGCATTTATTTTGGTATGCTCACACCACTCTTTCCTAATATATTGGTGATCTTCTAGGAACGAGAAGCACATTAAAATAAAAGTACTATAGGAGTAGCCTGCTCTGAAAAACAGAAATGACAATTTTTAATTATTATGACACAAATTCAAATACCAATAAGGTAATTCAGAAATGGTAGACATAGTAATGGTCAGGTTTATTATATGTGCTTACATTTACAAAACAAAAAAGAAACATTAAAACCATATTAAAAAGAAAGGAAAATTAAATAAACAGAAGACAAAGGTTACATATGTAAGCATTTTAAAGTCCTTACCTCCTCACAGCATCGTCTGCTTACAATAGCCCTATAATCAATTCTATCCCAGAGTTGGTCCCTTAACTTTAAGAAATTAGGGAACAGTTTTCTCCAGTTTTTCCCTAGAGCCCATGGAAAAATTTCATACTTGGATTCTTCCTCATCTTCTTCAACTGTATTAGCCAGATACCTAGTAAGACCAATAACCCAAAAAAGAAATGGGCAAGGACAGAAAGAATAGTTAACAACAACAAAAAGAAATACAAATGGCTTTTAAACACATATAAGATGTTCAACTTTACTCATAATTTAAAGAAAGGCATACCAAAAATAGAGATATAGGGAATTTTACCTTGTTGGGTTCTGGGTATTTTTGTACTCCTATAAATCTTAAGTTTCATATTGGGATGCAGTTAAGTTACTTGGAAACAACTGGATCCTTCCATGTCCTGATTTTATTATTTCTTATATGTATCTGGAGCAATGTTGAGTCTGAGGCTAATTACTGATAACTACCTGAGGCAAGAACTTCCTGAGTTCTTGAGTTCTTAAAACTTCATAAATTAAGAATTTTCAGTCTGGTTGGTAGAAACAGACATCGTTCCAGCTCTATGTGAATGAATGTTAAACACTGTTTCCTAATATTTTTTAAAATAATCTTTCCCTAGACTCAGGTAGTTTCTGTATACATGAATGGAGATCAGAATTCTATCAAATATTTGAGAGGGACCAGGCATGCACAGAAGAAGGAAAACAATCCATAATAAGAATAACCAATCAATCAAAACTAAACAAGGACATTAGAAGTTAAAATTAGGGCTGAGTTGTGGCTCAGTTGTAGAGGACTTGCCTGGCATGTGTGAGGCACTGGGTTCAATCCTCAGCACCATATAAAAATAAATAAAATAAAGGTATTATGTCCATCTACTGAAATATTTTTAAAGTTAAAATTAATCCATATGCTCAAAAAATAGACATTGAAAATGTGTGTCTAGACATGAAAATACGATGAAACTACACTAAATGATGCCTGTAATCCCAGCTATTAGGGAGGCTGAGGTAGGAAGATTGTGAGTTTGAAGCCAGGAAGGAAGGAAGGAAGGGAGGGAGGAAGGGAGGAAGGGAGGAAGGAAGGAGGGAAGGAGGGAAGAAGGGAGGGGAAAGAAGAGGAAAGAGGAGGAGGAATAAGAAGAAGGAGAAGGAGGAAGGAGGAGAAAAAGGAAGCAAAAGAGGGGGAGGAGGAAGGAGAAGGAAAAAAGGAGGAGAGAAAGAGGAGGAAAGAAGAAGAAGAAAATTATACTGGAATTAATGGCAGATTAAATACTATAGAAGATTTGTGAATTGAAGGCACAGAAACTATTTGAAATGACATACACAGAGAAAAAAAAAGGAACAAAAATCATGAACAGGGCATAATTTAGATGTGGGATAACCCCCAAAAGTCTAATAAAGGTGAAATTAGAGTCTCTTAAGTCAGTGGGTATGCAGAAAAATATTTAAAGAAATAATGGCTGAACATTTTAAAAATTTGATGAAAATTATAAATCTTCAAAGCCAAATGGACATGAAGAAAATTATACCAAAGTACATTGCTCAAAACTAATGATAAAAAATATTAAAAGCAGTCAGAAAAAATATGAGACATGTTAGATAATACAGGAACAAAGTTAAGGATGGAGCAGATTTGCCATCTGAAATAATGCAAGCCCCATAGTTGATTTTTCAGGAAAGATGGGTAATATACAACAAAAATATTACAAAATACATAGGGAACAAGGAATCATGGGCAGAAAATTTAAAAAGTACCCTGTTAAAATAAGGGGATAAATACATCTGAAAAATATCAAAAATCTATAATGTACTTTGGAGCCATATTGGGATCACATCATGATTCTACTCTACATTAACAATTTTTTCATGTTCAGTATGACAAAATCTCTATCACATATGAGGAAGATATCCTCCAACTTGAAACAGATTTCCTTGGTGCAGAGTCCATTTCTTTTGCGTAATAATTATGTTTATTCAAGTAAAGAATTAAGAACTTCCTATTGTAGTCATTGAAGGATGAAATTAAAAAAAAAAAAAAGATAAATGAACTGGGTGTGGTAGGGAGTATGTGTAATCCCAACTGCTCAGGAGGCTGAGGCAGGAGGATTGCAAATTTGAGGTCAGCCTGGGCAATTTAGCAAGACTGTCTCAACATGAAATTTTAAAAAAGAATGGGGATATAGCTCACTGGTAGAGCATTTTCTTAACACTGAGGCCCTGAATGTAACCCTTCCTATGTGGGGAAAAAAAATACATGTTCTTTGATCTTAAGGAGCAGTTAAGTAGAGGAGGCAAGTAAATATGAAACAAAAAACCATGAAAGAGAATATGGAAGAGTGATAATAGAAGTTCAGAGTGTTATAAGAATATATTGAAAGGAAACTAAGATTATATAGAAAGGAAAAGAAATTCAGTTTTAGAACTGTAGCTAATAGAAAATATAGGAACTACTGAGTCAGGCTATACAAAAAATTATGACTAGACATAGAATGGAAATTACAATTCATGTTATTTTTAACATAGAACTTATATTACAACATGAGATGCAACCTACAGACTACTCACTACATAGTACATGCTGACAAGTGCTTTAATGATAACTTTACAAAACATGTGAAACAAATCCAATTTAAGGCTTCTAGTAAGATTTAAAGTTCCAGGTTTTAAAAAAATTCTCAGGTGAGAAAAAACTATAAAAGATATTATATCAACATACAGATATAATACTGAGACATGTAAACAGCCATTTAACTTGGTGTCAATGGCTGAATTTGACTATTGGTAAATCACAGCTGAATTTGTACCTCATCTCTGCTCCTTACTAACTTTCGTGATCTTCAAAAATAATTAATCTTTCTGAGTCTGTTTCCTCATCTGTAAACCGGTGATTTAAAAAAAAATGCATTTCAAGGAGGCATGGTGACTAAACCTATAATCCTACCTACTGAGGAGGTTAACGGAGAAGGATTACGATTTCAAGGCCAACAACTAAGCAACACAGTGAGACCCTGTCTCAGAAAAAATTATTTCACAGGGAAAACTAAATATATTAATATATAAAAAATGTCATGGTGCTTTGTATGTAATACTCAGTATTTGCTAATACTATTATATTCTTCCAATTTAGCGATCATCACCAAATTTTAAATTTGAGTTCACTTTTTCCTATGTATTGGAAAGTATGTCTCTTCAATAAATGCAACAGTCAGTTTCTTCTAGTCTTATGCCTTTAATAACTCTTTTTTTCTTTAATAACTCTAATTCCAAATTAAAATAGACTTTAGGTAAAAACTTACTCTTTGATGTTGATAGATACTGTAAGTTTGATGTTGCATTATATCCAGATATAAGATAGAAAACAAAAAAATTGTGTGTGTGTGTATGTATGTATAATATATATAATTTTTTTTTTGACCTGGGGATTGAATCCAGGGTCTCACACATGCTAGGCAAGTACTCTACCAATGAGCAACACCCCAGCCCATACACACACACACACACACACACGCACACACACGTACATATACATGTGTGTGTGTGTGTGTGTGTGTGTGACTGTATGGTTTTTTGTGTGGTGCTGGAACTCAGGGCCTGTGCATGCAAGGCAAGCACTCTACCAACTGAGCTATATCCCCAGCCCCTCCAAAATATATTTTAAAATTACATTTCTATTAGCTGAATTCTGACTTACAGATTGGAAAATCACATCATTAAAATCATTTAACAGATCACAAAGTTTACATGAACTAACACAAAGTTAATGGAAAACAAACTATATTCCTTTGTTCACTGTGTTCAGTAAAATAGTCAGTGGATACCAAAAGAATTAAACATGAATGACTGCTATCTTATAGACATAGATACACAAAAGAGTATGTCTAGACTTATTTCCCACAAAATGTTCAATGTAAAAGGGCAATGATAGTAATGATTTTTATTGTATATTAACTGGAAATTTAAAAGAGAATCTCCTAGCTTTTAAAAAAATATTTTTAGTTGTAGATGGACACAATACCTTTAATCCATTTATTTATTTTTATGTGGTACTGAGGATTGAACCCAGTGCCCCACACTTGCCAGTCAAGCACTCCACCACCCAGCTACAGCCCCGGCAAAATCCTAGCTTTTTTTTTTTTTTTTTAATTTAAGTCATAAAGAAGAGAATTTGAGATCATGTATATGGGAACACTCTGAAAACTGTAAAAGGCACAATACAAACTCGAGAGGAATATTGAACAATAAGTCTTAGGCATGCAGCATGATAAGCTCAATGAAAAGAACATAAAAATATCATATTAAGGTAAAAAAATGCATAGATTTTATACAGGAAGGTCTATTCAAAGATACCCATAAATTTTTTTTGGTTGGTTGGGTATCAGGGATTGAATTTAGAGACACTCAACTACTGAGCCGCATCCCCAGTCCTATTTTGTATTTTATTTAGAGACAGGGTCTCACTGAGTTGCTTGGTGCCTCACTTTTGCAGAGGCTAGCTTTGAACTCAAAATCCTCCTGCCTCAGCCTCCCAAACCACTGGGATTATAGGCATGCACCACCACACCAGCAAAGATATCCATAAAGTTTTAACTGCTTCTGTTTTAAATAAGTTATCTCATACATTATAAATAACATAAAATCACATCATAGAAAGCATACTTACAGAGCAATAAAGAAATTTATCCTGGTATGCTCATTTATAGTAAATTTAGCTCTCTTGAAATAAACAAAGGTCATAGCCAAAAGATACTATAAGGAAAAAAGTTAGAAATTAACATTTGCTTTCATAAATTGTCCAAATAGTTAAATTTATTTATTTATTTATTAATATTTATTTTTTAGTTTTCGGTGGACACAACATCTTTATTTTATTTTATGTGGTGCTGAGGATCGAACCCAACGCCCCGCGAATGGCGAATGCCAGGCAAGCGCGTTACCGTTTGAGCCACATCCCCAGCCCCAAATAGTTAAATTTAAAATTTTTTTTTATAAACAAGTTAAAAAGCATTATCTTTATTATAGTATCGATTTGAGTACTTTGTTTCCTGTAATCAATCCATGTCAATAGTGATAGTTATTGACCATTTATTAACTAGATAAGACTCCTAAATTTTATTTGTAAATAATTTTTTGAATTAAAACCCCATTTTTCTAACTTAAAATTCAAACCTATAGATAAGTTGAAGTAATATTAAAGTAACTATACATGGTTCATATAGACTCACAAATTATTATTTTGCAGCATTTGCTTTATATTTGTGTGTGTGTGTGTGTGTGTGTACACACACACAATACACTTTTCTTCTAAACTTTTATTTGTAGACATCCATGCTCACCTCCCTGCCTTTTTTTCTTGGTGCTGGTGATTATGTATGCTAAATATATGGCATCATGTATGCTAAATATATGCTCTACCACTGAACCCTGATACTTATTTTTCAAGTAACTTTCAGGAGTTTTCTAAATAACTCAAGAAATCAGAATAAGATGACTCCACTCCCACGGGGAAAACATATTTTAAATGTATTATTAGAAAGCTACATGGCTAACCTGTTATTAGAACACAACAGGATCTTACTATTCAAATTACAAACAAGTTATAATTGTAATATTTTCTTTCTCATAAAATACCCATTCATCTTATAGTCACAGTATTGGGCACCAAGGTGATTCCAAGTTTTCACGTGACTTCTGGTAAAGGATTATTAAAGTAGTATTGATACAGTTCTCTTTTCAACTACTGCCCCCTGCTGTCCACAACTTTAATGCATAAAAAAAGCCATGAAGTTTAAAAAAACGATTCCACAGAAAATGGATATTTGATATTAAAACATTACTGTAAATTTTAAAGTGTTAGTGACATTGTGATTATGTTTTAAAATCCTTTATTTAAAAATATTTATAGATTAAAGGCTAGGATGTCTGTAATTTGCCTGAAGATAATCCAGTCTCAAGGGCAGGGATTTAGAAGAAACAAAAATGGCCATGAATTCATGACTGTGGTAGCCAGATGAGAAGTACCCAGTGGGCCTTCATACAATATGATTTACTTTAAGTTGTATATATTTGGAATTTTCAAAAATGAAGTTTCCAAAATTTAAAATAAACACTTTTCATTTTATCTTTGCCATCTTAAGTGGGAAGTAAAAACATTCACTTCAATACTTAGTAGTACTTAATCATAAGCTAAATTTCCAATCATTCCTTTTGTTTACACATTTAAAGTGTGATGTGAAGTTATGCTGAACTGTCAACATGACTGCCTAGTCTAAAATGGCACTTACAAAGCTGAAATTGTAACTATTTAGCTAACTCAAAAAGCATAGAAACAATTCTCTTTTGTCTAATAACAGAGCATAAAAATGTGGCTAAGTGAAGTTAGCCAATCACAAAAAAAAAAACAAATGCAGAATGTTTTCTTTAAGAAAGCTGATTCATAGAGGCATAGGGAGGGGGAGCATGGGAGGAATAGATGAACTCTAGATAGGGCAGAGGGGTGGGAGGGGAAGGGAGTGGGCATGTGGTAATTAATGATGGTTGAATGTGATGATCATTATTATCCAAAGTACACGTATGGGACACGAATTTGTGTGAATTACTACGTATACAGAGATATGAAAAATTGAGTTCTATATATGAGTTGTAATGTATTCCACTGTTTTTATTAAAGAAAAAAGCATAAAAACAGCATTGTTCTGAGAATGTAAGTTAGATATTATGTAAACTTGAATAGCCCTAAATAAAAAACATGATAAACTAATTTTACCCCACAAAATCATTGAGATTTGGTGCGGGGCAGCAGGTGCAGGGGCACTTTACCACTGACTACATTCTCAGGCCTTTTTATTAATTTTGATACAGGATCTTGCTAAATTGCTGATGTTGGTCTAGAACTTACAATCCTCCTGCCTCAGCCTCTGGAATCACTGAGATTATACCTATTTGTTTGTTTTATCTTTTTTTTTTTTTCCAATTATAGCTTTCTTTTTTTTAAACCTTTTTATTTTTCTTTATTTATATGTGGTGCTGAATATTGAACCCAGTGCCTGACACATGCTAGATAAGTGCTCTACCACTGAGCCGCAACTCCAGCCCTTGTTTTATCTTAATAAAATATTCAAATATTCAAATGTTTAAGAAACTGCTACAAAAGGAGTGAATCTCAAAATATTTTCCCTGCAGCCTGATAAAAGGTAATAATTCTAATAAAAATGTATCAAGTCTATATTGATTCTTGTTTTCAATAAAAGATATAAACTTAGATATAAACTTCATTTAAATCTAATCAATAATATTCACTGAAATCTATGTAGTATATTATTCCAAAAATTAAGGTGTAAGGATTTTGTGTTGAAGAAACAATGCAGTCTGTTTTCCTAGTCTTAGTAAAATAAGCTCTTAGTGTTTTATTAAAGTTCTGATGATCTAGTAACATAATAAATGCTAATGATTTATATTGTTACCAAATTTACCTTGTCTGCAATTTTACAGCAGCAGTCCATCCACAAGAAATCTTGAATTAAATCATCATCTACAACAAAACACAGCTATGACTTACCTTTTAATAATAAAATATCTCCTTTTGAAGACTTACTTTCTATATCAAGATATTATAAATGATGCTTAGAAATCCAACAAAAATGGCTAGACCAGTGTAGTCTAAGGTGTAATTGTCAGTAGTTACCATATTTGCTATAGCAAGTACCATACAAAAAGCTACTGCCTTATCTTTTATCTTTCCATCTGATTTGCCTCCCCTCCCTATGTATGAAGCTCAGCTTTAAGGGAGAATGGTATGTGTTTTGTTTATTGACTACCTAATAGCATATTATGTAATTCTAGCTCATCATTTCTTTCCAAAATCAAACTTTTTTGGGGGGGGGGGTACTGGGGATTGAACTGAAGGGCACTCAACCACTGAGCCACATTCCCAGCCCTATTTTGTATTTTATTTAGAGTCAAGGGTTCTCACTGAGTTGCTTAGTGCCTTGCCATTGCTGAGGCTGGCTTTGTGAGATCCTCTTGTTTCAGCCTCCAGAGCCACTGCGATTACAGGCATGCACCACTGTGCCCGGTTCCAAAGTACAGTTGGAAATGAAAACTGATAGATAATTCAGCTTTAAACAAATTCTTTAATGAATACTGTTTTATTGGTTTTTTGTTTGGTAACTGGGATTGAACCCAGGGGTGCTTAAGTTGCTTAGGGCCTTGCTAAATTGTTGAGGCTGGCTTTAGACTTATGATCCTCAGCCTCCCAAGCTGCTGGGATTATAAGTGTTGTACCCAGCATGAATACTTCCTTTCAGTTTCCAGGGATTTTAGTGTTGGATTTTCTCTTTTATTTATCTGTTTCACTTATCTATTATTCAAATACATATGAAAATATTTATAAAAAAAAAGAGGTTCAAAATTTACTATTTATAATTAATATTTAATTTGGGAAAACATAAATACTAAAGGTGAAAATACATAATCTCAAAATATATTGGTAGTTTTTAGGATATAATCTAGGAAAATCTGCTTTTTTGCATTCCCCTACCCTTTCCTTTTATTTTTATTTATTTATTTAATTTGTGGTATGGGGGATTGAACACAGGGACACTCTTCCACTGAGATACAGTCCAGCCTTTTTTATTTTTATATTGATAGGGTCTAAATTGCCAAGACTAGCCTTGAATCTGTCATCTCCTGCCTTAGCTTTCCAACTAGCTAAGATTACAAGGCATGCAGCATTGGGCCCAGCTCATTCTCCCACCCCACATTTTATATAACAAAGCATAATTCCTTTATAGTCATTTTACATGCTACAAATATCATCAATGTAATAAAATTTTGGAAAGTTCTAAGAATAACTACTGATTTTCCTGAGAATTAATTTTTGGCTTTTGAGGGGGTGGTACTAGGGATGGAACCCAGGGGTACTTTAACACTGAGCTACATCCTGGCCCTTTTAAAATTTGACATAGTGTCTTGCTAAATTGCAGAGACTGGCCTCGAACTTGCAATCCTCTTGCCTTACTCAGCCTCCTGAGTTGCTGAGATTACAAGTATGTGCCACCACACGAGCTTCCATTTTTATTTCTTGTTACCAAAGCTAACAGTAGGTATTTTCTCGTGTATCTGATGACCAGTTATCGGTATTAAAGAAGTTTATAAGAAATAATTTTATCCTATACAATTTTTAAATTTTTTTGTGGTATTGGGGATCAAACCCAGGGCCTCACATGTGCTAAGCAAGCACCACCACTGAGCTATGTTCCCCAATTTTTGTCACTGTCACCCATATACACACATACATATATATATATACACACACACACACACACACACTTTTCTAGCTGTCAATGGACCTTTATGTTTTTATTTATATGCAGTGCTGACACTCAAACCTAATGCCTCATACACGCTGGGCAAATGCTCTACCACTAAGCTATGACCCCAGCCTATGTCCTATCCTTAATAAGGAGAAAGGGAAACTTGTGTTAACATTCTAATTCCTGATGAGGGAGCATTTTTTTTTTATATCTTCTTCTACTTTTATTCCTTATATATATTTCCTTTTCCTTCTTCTTTTTAAAGATCTCACTTTTTTTCATTGGTTTCTTTATATCTTAACCAGCTTGCCTTAATGAAACTGGCTTTCCTCTATAAACAAGGAGAACTGTTACCTATGTCCACCAAATCACGGTATCAATTGACTTTATTCATTCCCAAAGGTACTTCCCAGAACCCATGTAGCCTACCCCATTTTCTAATCTGTCTACCTTACTTACCATATCTCCAAATAAAGATTCCTGTTCTTTCTTGGCTAGTAGAAGTACTATAAAGAAGATTCTTTTTGCCTATTACAGAATTTATCAGCATAGGAGCATTGTCTCATGATTTGAACAAATTCAAACTCAAATTTTATGTGAACATGATAAAACATTTGTTAATTTTTTATAATATTCCCAAGATATAATACTTGTAATACTGAACTTTTCTAGAGAAACCAACATCCATTTGCTTGGTTTTAGCTGTGAAAGTCCTGGGAAACCCTTAAGCCTGGGTTGGTAGCTCACTTGAGTCTTCATGTATTATTTTATTTTATGTCAAATAAAACTCATGCTATGATCCAAAAGTGCTCATAATCTACATTTGATTCACTTGGATTTAAGTAGTCTAGAAGCTAGATGAGTCTGAATTAATTAATTTTTGGTACTGGGAACTGAGCTCCATCCCCAGGATCTCACTAAATTGCAGAGACTGGTCTTGAATTTTTGATCCTCCTGACTCAGCCTCCTGAGTTACTGGAATTACATATGTGTACTGCTCATTTTAGATGAATCTGAATTTTTAATCCATTAGCAAGAAAAGCAATCAAAACTCCAACATTTAAAAAAAGACTAGTAAAAACAAATGCAAACTTGGTTGGAGATGGAACATTTGACACAGAAAATAATATTATTCTCTTAGGTCTCTATGAAAATGATAAAATATATGTTTATAATTTAACATATTTTATAATTACACTATTAGATATTTTAAACCTACCAAATAATTTAAAGAAAGCAGTCATTTCCTGACGCTGTATAACCAGACAAGGTCCTTTAGGGCGTTTAGATTTGTTATTATATGCATTTTTTTCAGATGCTTGCCAACTATCTTTAAAAATAGGACGCTTCAGATTAATGGTTTTTTTAGGCTGATGTGATCTATTCGGCCCTGATTTTACGTGAACAGTGACAGTAGGTGGTGTCTCACAACACATCTGATTGTGCCTCATTTTGGTTCCCCAAGATTCCTGTAAAAATAAAACATTAATTATTTATCACATTAATTCATTTCTATATAAAAACTAATTGAGTAATCTACCGGAAGCAGTCATCTGAACTGTTACTGAACTTGCTATTAAAAATGTTATTTGTGATAGTGACTCACATTAGAAATTGCTTTTAGAATTCAGTGCCAGGAAAAGCTATGCTTCTTTTGGGTAGCTAATATACTTTCTCTTCCCAAATAATCAGATACTGTATACCACTTTGCTTCGACTATTCTGGAATTAGAACTAAATTTGAAAGTATAAAAACCATGCTGAGTTCATTATCTATTTGTGGTGTTCTTTTTACCTGATTTTTTTTTATTCTGCTTGAACTGGCATAATTTTATTACATGGTTGTTAAACACCACCCTCAAATTATTTTATAGAATAAGGCAAACTATCACCAATTATAGCACTTAACTGGTTCCATAATTCTCTTTCCTTTATTATGTTTCACTCCTCTCCCCCTATTCTTTTTCTTAGATCCTGAGGTCCAACTAAATTGGAGGTAATTATGGAGTTGGGGTGGGGGTACTATAAACTCCATAGAAAGATAAATAGGTGATAAATTGAGACTTGAAACTTGTCTAACAACTAGAACTTAATTACTGATGTCAAGTGTTGAACTGAAAAGCAACCCTTTCCATAAAAATATCTGTAAATTCCTTTTTTTTGTTACAGTTGCTTATTCAATAGCATTTATTGGTATTTATTGACTAGTTGAAAATAATTCTAGCAAAGAAATGTATGACAATTTCATAAATTGTTCTATTTTTAAACATTTTGAGTATATGATCATCCTATTGGAATGGCTGATAATAAATGTATATGAATATACAGTGTTATGATCTAATAAAATCTGAAACAAAGTTAATCCATCAGTATTTAACCATATACATGAACATTACTTTGGTGGTGATTACTAAACATAGATACTAGTTAGTATTACTTCTGTGGTGTGTTTTTAGGGTACTTGGGAAATGGAGGTATGAATGGGCAAAGCAGTATACTACTCTAAGATCCTAATGAGAACCTCTGAATCCATGACTCACAGTGACCCAGGCAGCCATGCCTCCCTTGGTGTTCAAGGATTTAGGTTCAGATTCTCCTTCCTGACCCTCAGAAATTTCCCTGCTGAAGGAAGGAATGGAAAATAAGATTGGATGTAGTGAGGCTGAAGCAGCACTGTCCAATATAATGAGAGCCACATATATAATTTTACACTATTTTAGAACCACATTTAAAAAGAAAAGGCAAACCAATATATCCAAAATATCATTTTTAACAGGTAATCAATATAAAAATTAATAAGATATTTTATATTCTAAATATTTGAAATCTAGTGTGTTATTTACACTTATTTACAATTATGGTGCTTTTTTTTAACAATTTACATGAAATGTAAATTAACAGTTCACATGAAATGTAAGTCCTATAAAAAATAAAGTTGTGTATAAGGGAAAATATTTTATACTCCTTCACTTTTTCAATTTAAAGTAAAAAATTCTTCAGTTGCACCAGCTACTGAATATAGACATATGTGGATAGTGGCTACTGTATTAGATGCCACATTACAAAGAACTTGGAGGAAGAAATTATCCTTAATTGGTTCTCTCCTATTTTGATTCCCTCTCCTCCCCCCATCCTTTTTCCTAGATCTTATCTTAAGGTCCAGCCAAATTAAAAGTAATTATGAAACTGGAGTAGGGGTGCCATAACTCCATACAAAGATGAATAAGTGATAACATGAGCCTTGAAATGTGTGTAAGAACTTTCTGCTCTTTCCTACCCACTTCATCTGGGAGACAGCTGGAGGCCTCATCTGCATCTTTTCTGAGTAAGAGCAGCCTTATATCTAGATGGATATAGATATCTCAAATTGGGTTGGGTGGTGTGGGCTAGGCTCAGAGGTGGGATGTACCAGAATACAGAATAGCTGTAGCACATCTTTCAGGATATGATTTTTATTCAATGGTAAATAGTTGTAAGTAGTTTTCATATAAAAACAACCATGGATAAATCATGAAATACAATGCAATTTTTCTATCACTCAAAAAGGCAAAATATCATGCTTACAGTAGGCCTCTTTACATTAGTCCATTAAACCTTTGGTTATGTATTGGGATATTTAATATAAAATTTGAGAAAAACAAAAGAAAGCAAATATCTGAAATTCCCAAATAGAGATATACAGATGTTAATAAGCAAACTTTGATAGGAAAGTTGTGGATAAAGGGCTTAAGGCAAGGAGATATCAATGTTATAGTCTCAATCAAATTCACCTCAATTGTGCTTTTTGTTTAGATATATCAAGAGAAGAGGAGTTCTGCTTTCAAGTAAGAGGAAAAGAATGAAAGGCAAATCTAAATACAGGCCATTTTTTGAGGGCAAGAGATAGGCAAAGAGGGGGAATAGAAGAAACTATTGCTCCTATAGTAAAATTCTTTAATGAATTTTTACATGGGTTATACTAACATTTAAAAAAATCTTACCAAGGTGCTGGAGAGTGGCCAAGAGGTAAAGCCCTTTGGCATGGTGAAAGGTATGCACAAGTATGCACAAGGTCCTGGGTTCAATCCCCATCATCACAGAAAAGCAAAAGTAAAATTCATATTTGAATAAAATATCTGAGATTTAAAATTATATTTTGTAAATATATCTAATAAATTCTATGGGTATCTGAAATAATTCTTCTCTGGCACAATGTGCATAGAATCATACAAGAGAAGCAGAAGTAGTTTGGAGATTCATTTGTCTATTTGATCTAACAGCAAATCCACTGGCAACTCAAGTCAGGGCAGTCAGGTAAGTTGCAGCTGCCTTATAATTGCAATCACACACTGAGCACTTGATAATGTGTCAGACATAATCTCATTTAATTCTCAAAACATCTCAGTAAGTTGGGTATTTTACCTTATTTTCTAGATGAAAAATTTGAGGCTTAGAGAAGTTAGGATATTTGCCCATAAACCAAGTAGTGATAAAAGTAGAACTTGGATCCAAGACTATTTCACTCCAAATCTCATTTTTTAACCACTAAATAACTATTTTAAACATTAAATGAAATCATTGTCAAATACTTGACATACAGTTAGCATTCCAATGTTACTTATTATCACCTTGCGAGGAAAACATAAACCTAGTGATAATGCAAACAATATACAAATTTAATTCTAGCATTTGCAGTCTAACTGCACACAATAAATTGTGGCAGTGGCTTCTTGTCTTTGGGGTGTATGTTGCCCATGCTAGTCTCAAACCCCTCAAATAATTCTCCCATTTCAGCCTCTGAATTAGCTTGGATTATAGGCATATGCCACTATACCTGGCTTCATTTAATGTTTGAGTTAAGCCACTACTATGAGGAAGAACCACTTTTGGGGGGTGGGGGTTGGGGGTTGGGGTGGAGATTGAACCAAGGGCCTTGTATATAATAATCTTTTTGATAAAATAACTTAAGAAGAATCTTTATTGAAATGACTACAACATTTCTATCATAACCAGCATTATCTAATTATTGAAAAATAATACAGCAAATTGAGAAAAAATATTCTGGCAAATTGCTGGAAGTTTTGCTACAGTTATTATGAGATATAATATCTCCATAATTTTGATGATTTAAATTTTTCAATTTTTAATCATCTAATGGTTATAAAGGCTTTTGACCTCATCCAACTGTTAGGTGCTAAGGCATTGTTTTCAAATATTTATTTTTTAGTTAGGTGGACACAATATCTTTATTTTTATGTGGTGCTGAGGATCGAACCCAGTGCCCTCACGCATGCTAGGTGGGTGCTCTACATCTGAACCACAATCCCAGTAAGTGCTAAGGCATTTTAAAAATAATTAATTGGCACAGTTCCTTTGATGAATTCAAATCTGATTAGAAATTGTATTACGTATAATACACTTCCATGTAGTGGTAGGAGTGAATAGAATATTCAGCTGAATAGAATTAAAGTTAGAAAATGAGGCAGGAAGTATGAACATGCAATGATTAGAAGAAAATGAACAACAGCTAGAACAGTATTCAAATGAGTGGGTTTTTTGTTTCTTTCTAAAGAGAGGGTACTTAAATCGGTCTAAACGCAAAAGGGACTGGTTCAGGATTTAAGACTTGATTATGTCTCATTAGCTATGTGACCTTAGGTTATTTAACTTCTGGAAGCCTCGGTTTCCTCACTCATGATATTGAAATAAAAGCACTTAGGTTTACTCAGAATCCAGTAGATAGTAAGTACTCAGTAAAAATGACACATTAGGTATTATTAATAATACCATATTTTGTAGAGTCTGAGAAAAGGAACCACATGGGTAATACCTAGCACAGTGCTGAATGCTTAGCAAAAACTGTAGCAGCATCATTTTTTGTATCTTCTTTACCAGGAAGGGTGTCTTTCAAGGAAAGAAGGGTTTGAATATGAGTTTGAGCCAAGTTTCACTTCAAGTACTAAATATATTTAAATGTTAAATTCTTATTGGTAACGGAATTCGCTGGTATTTGGAAACATGCTAGTTATAGAATTCGTAACTACACGTACATGTTCTCAATTTCATCACAGCATATCCGTCTCTAAAGAATGTACTTTACCTCAATATTTTGGTTTTCGTGGGATGGAGGCACTGAAGGTTGGACCCGGGGCGCTCTACCCCTGAGTCGTATCCCCAGCCCTTTTTTAGACAGGGTCTCGCTAAGTTGCCCTGGCTGGCCCTGAACTTGCGACCCTCCTGCCTCGGCGTCCTGGGTCCCGGGGATCTCAAGCGTGCGCCTCTATTCCCGGCTACGTCACAGGCTTTTCTAAGGACTAGAAGCTAGGTGGTCCCCAGTCGTACTGGAGTCTTGTAAGAGGGCAGCTGCCTAACTGGAGGTACAGGCTAAGGCACAGCACGGCGCCACCGCGGGCCGGCGCTCTGGACGCTGGTGCGGACGCCGGGGCGGGGGTGCGTGTCCTGGGACCCGCGGAAGAGGGGAAGGCAGGACTTACCCCAAGACCGCCGCCCCTGTTCCGGGGAAAAGAGGCGGGCGGGCGGATGCCCGGCCCCGGGTTTCTCCCTGCGGCACCCGGACCGCCTACGACCCCCGTGAATGAGTGCGGGGACGTCTCCAGCCCCCGGTCCCTCTAGCCTGGCCTTTCCCCGTCCTGCCCAGCTCCCCCAGCTCCGCACCAGCACGCCCGCCCCGCCCGGCCTTCGCCTCTCCCGAGCCTCCGGGACGCCGCCTCTCCCGAGCCCCTGGCCGCAGGAGCTGGCGTGCGCTCGAGGCCGCGAGGGCACCCGCGGAATTCACCGGTGCAGGGGTGTGGGTCGGGGACGAGGCCGCGGCGCTTGTTAGGGGGCAGAGACGCGGCCACTTTCTCACACAGGTGGGCGGCGGAGTGGGCCGCCAGCGGCCACCGACCGGCCAGACACAGCCGAAACTCTCTGAAAGCTGGTCTGCCGGCCCCACCGCGCGGTTCGAGCAGAGATACCTGCGGAGACCCACGAAGGGTGCGCCGCCCGCCTCTGCCTCAGCTCCCGGCTTCGGGCGGTTGTGCGCAGGTCGCTCGACTCCTCACCACCTCCTAGCAGAGCCCCCGCCCGCAGCCGGCGGCGCGTGGCCCGAGGGGCCAATCAGCGCGCAGGGCAGGCCGCAGGGCGGGGCTGACGCCAGCGCCTCGCCAAGTCCCCGCCTGCGCGGACCCAGGCGGCTCAGCCCACTTCTACCGTTATCCGGCTGCGGGGCGAGGCCCTTGCACGGCTCGCGACACCTCCTAGTTTGCTCTCTTTTCCAGCGACACGCCCCCAAATCAGTCGGTGATGAGACGGTTAGCTTCCCGCAGTCAGACCGTGTGGCCCTGCAGGGCTGGGGCCACAGTTCTCGTCCCTACTTTGAGAGGTTCCCGGGAGAATGCAGCAGCGCAGTTACCACGTACGCGGTCACGTTACCCGCTTAAACCAAGAGTGTTTTTTATTAAGTTTTTTTTTTTTTTTATGACACAGTAATGTTCTACTGTTTTAAGCCCTAAATTTCGTCAGCCGCAGGACTTTGCCCCCCGCCACGCCTGAGGTGTAGTAGGTACTTAATAATAAAACGATCCTTCACAGCTTTTACCCCCCCCACACACACACCTTTCCTTTCCTTTTCCCACGCAGAACCTGCTTTTCTTCCGTTCACACTCATGCACTTTAAAAAAAAATACTTTTTTTTTTTTTTTTCACGTTGCTAGTCTTTCATTTACCTTTTTCTTTAGGTGGTACTGGGAATCGAACCAAGGGCCTCTACACGTGCCAGGCAAGCACTGTATGACTAATCCACATCCCCAGCCCGTCTTTTGTTTCTAATGACTACATAATATTACAGAACGGATGGGTCGTATTTAAATCACTTGATATTTAGATTTCTTGCAGATTTTTTGGCTACTATAATTATTACACTTAGAAAAGTAATTTAGGCTTGCCTATTTGTGATACTTCCCTTAGTTCTTCATTCAGCAACTCTGAAAACCCAGTCTTAGGGTCCCTTCTTAGCAAAATCACCTACAGGTAAGAAGAGAGGACATCTTAAGAGCTAATTTTTCTTGACAAAGTCCTCTGGCATTTTCTTCACGACCTTTAAATGGGGGAATGGATCAAGAGCACCACTTAGTTGTAAAATTTTCAGGAAAATGGCTGCTTCAAGTTTATTTCTTGAGGTCCCAAGGATGCGTCCAAGGTTTCTCTTTTCTCTTTTACAAGGTATCAGGGTTTCCTGTGATTATCAATTTCCAGACTTGTGTTTTTGTTGTACTGAATAATGACTACCCACTACAACACAATATAACAAACTGGGAAGGAAAATAAATTAAAACAATATGGCGCTACCCTTCTAGAACTTTCTAGACAGATAAATACACAACTATATATCAAAAGGAAATTAGGTGAAAGTACTCCTTAGAATCCCCAAATCTTGGGCTGGGGATAGCTCAGTTGGTAGTAGTGCTTTCCTCCAGTGTACAAGGCCCTGGGTTCAATCCTCAGTCATACCCCCGCCCCCCCCCCCCACACACACAAATAGTCCCCATCAGAATCCCAAAATCTTTGCAGTTTGCATTTTACAAAATCTGTAAAATATTAAATTCAGCAAACACACATAAATGTTAAAGTTTTGGGGGAAACAGCTTACTGAAAATTATTTTACCTTATACATCAACAAATCTACGTGTGCAATGATACCACCTGATTTGTAAAAGTAGGACAATTTCATTTTGTGGGTAAACAGTTAAGCAGTGGTTGGGAACATAAGTAGATTTTGTTAGCTTTTTCCTTGTATCTTTCATTTGACCTGAAACTTGAATGAGGACCCAAGCATTTGAATGAAGACTCTTGACTATTCTTTCTCTCTTATCCATCCAGTTCACCATCTCTCAAGATGGCCCTGTTTATTCCCTTACTGAAAAATCATTGCTGATTGCCCATAACCTTGACCATCTTCTGCACTGTGTCCACAACTCCTCCAGTTTGTTCCCATTCTACTTTCCCAAATGTATCTCTTTCCATTCTTACAAGTAAGAATTCTTTAACTCTGTTGCTTTTTTCTGAACATGTCTTAAACTTTTCCCACTTCTTTGACCTTGCATATAGTATGCTCTCTTCATTACTCTTTAAATTTTCTATCTGGTCTCCATCTTTTAACACCCAGCTTATATCATCCCATTATCATTTGAGTAATAAGTGCAGAGCTCTGTGCCACTCTTGAACTCCTATAACATTTTCTGCAGTTCTCATTTTACAGAAGCTTATTAATCAGTTATTTAAAAATATTTTTGTGTATATACTTTTACATGAAGGAATCTGTATGCATGTTTTTAAAAGAAGAGTGAAATTATGGAATTTGCCAGTAATTGGTTGGAGTTGGAGAATATCATGCAAAGCGAAATAAGCCGGATCCCACAGGACGAATGTTTTCTCTAATATGCGGATGCTAATTCACAATAAGGGGGGGGGTGTGTGAGGGGGGACTAGGGGAAAATAGCATTACCACCTTACCTTAAATTAGATAGAAGTAAGTGATGGGAGAGGAGGGGAGGGGATGCGGGAATAGGAAAGATAGAATGAAACAGACATTGTTACTGTATGTATATATGTGACTGCATGACCAATGATTCTGCAATATGTACACTTAGAAAATTGAGAAATTATATCACATCTATGTATGATATATCAAAGTGCATAAATGCATTTCTACTAGCATGTATAACTAATTAAATAAAAAAAATTTTAAAAAGGTAAATTCAGTTCTCATACTTGAATGTGTTAGTTTTCTGCTATTGTAACAAATACCTGACATAAATAAACTTAAAAATAGGAAAGGTTAAAAAAAGAAAGGAAATATATGTACAAAATTTACATGTAACACATATGTAGGTTGAAGCCTAAAACAAAAACTCATGAAAGTACCATCCACCAAAACCATATGACTCATATATCCAAGAAACAGAACAACAGTACTGTTTAGATTTTATATGGTCCTCTTCCCTCCATTAGTCTCCAATAGGTCACTTTTTCCCTGGTTCCTTTTTCTTCAGATTTATCCTAAAACACAAGTTTTATTTATGAATTAATACTCAGCCTTTGTATTCATCATAGATTTGACCATGCTAATGAATGACACTGCAGATCACTATTACATTTCTTCTGCTCCATTAATATATTGCATCAATGCTCCTGTCAATGGGCATTTGGGCCTTTTATTTATTTTTATTGTGAATGCATTGAGCATTCTCATACAGACTTGGTCATCAGCTGCAATGTTTATACCTGGCACGGGGTCTGATTGGTCAGTGTTCATGGCTTAAAGTCAAATAGTTTTGATACTTCTTGTATATGCCCTATGATGCACACATGCAGTTTTTCTATAAATGTTTCAAAATAAAACCGATGAGCTATTGGGAAATATACATGTTCAACTTTACAAGGTTAAATAGAGGACACCAATTGAGTTTTTCAGCACTCCTTTTCTATGTGTTCTACCCAACCCTCCAAGCCATTTGGGTGCAGGGATAGTGGCTATGTTCTGCAATCTCCCCCCTTTTCACCGTGTAGGAGTCATATGGGCTTATTTTTTTGTACTAGGGATTGAACCCAGGGGTGCACTCTATCACTGAGCTACATCCCCAGTTCTTTTTGTTTTGAGATAGGGTCTCCAAGAATGGAGCCTGGGTAATTACTCTTAAACAGAAAAGACAAGATATAAATAAACTCTGGGTATCGGGAATAATCAATCTAACAAAATAACAGAACTTATTAATAATTTCTGCCTGGAAGAGTTTTCTCCACTGTACCACTTATTTTGTTCCTTACTGAAGAGTGTGTGTGTGTGTGTGTAAAACATTTTTTTTTCTCCCTGTACTTCTATCTTGACTTAATCCTTATTTGTTATATGAAGAAATTGCCTCTCCACTTTAAAGTTTTTATTCCTGGTTTAAGTGCTCTTACTTTTGGGGCAAAATTTGAAAGAAAATATCACACAAACTATACTATTTTCCTAAAAAATGTGAAGTTGCTTTAAGATCAGCAAAAAAGAATATAACCTATAGAAAGGAAGGCAAGAAAGTAATTACAAGTATCTTGAAATGTTTGGTTGGTTTTTGAACAGACAACTTCCTCAATGTGGCTGTCAGATGCTAGCTGCAAAATGTTCAAGTAACTCATCACTTTTACTTCTTAGATTTACCAATATTTTACCAAATAACAGCCACAGTTTTGACAATGAATCATTTGGGCAGCACACACTCAAATCAACTTTCTCCTAAGACTTCTTTTTTTTTTTTTTTAAGAGAGAGAGAGAGAGAGAGAGAGAGAGAATTTTAATATTTATTTTTTAGTTTTCGGCGGACACAACATCTTTGTTTGTATTTGGTGCTGAGGATCGAACCCGGGCCATACGCATGCCAGGCGAGCGAGCTACCACTTGAGCCACATCCCCAGCCCCCTGAGACTTCTTTCTTAAAGAGACAAAAGCAATTATATGGAGAATGAAAATTTGAGCTGTTTATTTGTGGCAAATTTCATAAGGCCAAGGTGTCAAAACAGTAATACAAGCAGTCATTTTGAAACTCTTACCATTCATTAAACAAATACTGTTACTGACAGACCTTTTCTATCATTTATAAAGGGTCAAGCACTCTAGATCAGTCAGTGAAAAAAAAAAGATCTCTGCCCATGAGCAGTGAGACTGATCTAGACCCCAAGATTTTAAGGGCCAAATGTTAACAGTCTTAAGGAACACCCAATGTCTTAATGGTTCCAAATCAGTAACTGCTATGATGGAAAATGGAATGGATTACAATTCGTGTTAATCCGCCAGTGAACATACTCAAAGAGTTTAAGGATTTTGCTTGCTAAAACAGATTAGGTCTCTCACTCAAAAGAGGCCATGCAGTATAATAACAGGAAGATTTTAATCTAAATCTTTGATTAGTTGAATTAGGTGGAGTCACCAAGCCCCAGTGGGCTACAAAACCTGGTAATTATCCTGGGAAACAGGAGATTTGTTTCTAAAATCTCTTACTGATATGTTTGGAACAAATGCATGTGCTTAGTTGGATCCTGGGTCTCACACAAGATTTTCTGAGGTAATAAGTATCTTACTAATTTTAATTTGATAAACTGAATAGACTCATGAGTTCTACCAGACATAAACCTCAAATAACTTAAACTTCACATCTTTCCTCTCAGGAATTTTTATTAAATCAAGAGCAAAAGACAAAGTTCATGTTAATTCATGAATGGTAGAACAGGTGTCAGCCCATCAATAACTTATTAAGTGTCAACATTTTCAGCAACTGTTACCAGGGGGTAATATGCTAAGGGTAGTCTGATATAAAAAGTTTTATCACTGTAGTTTATTTTCTCAACCACCTCCCACCCACCCCCAAGAAATATACTAGGGGTTTTAATATGTTTCAACAAATTTGCATAACAATCTGTGATAGTTCCAGATGTTTAGCTGTGACGTCACTGCTTTGGGGGGAATAAATTGGCCTATACATCTATTGAATTACTCAGATGAGGCAGCTGTAAAAATTAACACACACTTCACTTGGTGATGCAGGCCTGATTGAACCGGAAGCCTTCAGAAATAGATCTTAGGTTATATCTTTTTGCATGTGTAACACTTGAAAAGAATGTTGAACTTAGAAGCCTCAGGCAATTAGTCCTTTCAAATGTTACAGCTGTGTCATCCTTAGTCCTTTTTGTTTTTGAGATAAGGTCTTGCTAAATTGTTTAGGGTCTGGCTGAGTTGCTGATCTTGGCCTTGAACTTGAATCCTTCAGGGTCCCAAGTTGCTGGGATTACAGGTGTGTGTTACTTTATGTGGTTCAGATGCATCTTTAATTCAGGTGTGATCTCACAAGGAAAGGGAGATGGAAAATTAGGTCGGCTGTGATAGCAAATTCAGCCTGATCATCATTGTTCTCTAACTGAATTTTTAGCATAAAGATGTAAAAAAGTTAATTTGTTCTTTTGGCTCAGAAGTTTTGGCTCTTACAAAGAAAAAGGAACTTATAAAACTGAGCATATTTCATTCCCCTGGCTGAATATAACAGACTTTTGTGTTCTTAAGAGACACAGTGTAAGATGTTCCTGACTTGCCTTTGATGAATTCTTTTGAAAGGTGTGTTGCCCCAAACACATTCATACTCCAAATTAATCCATTTCCCCCTCTCAATTTAGCTGAATTTATTTAATCAAAGAAACAAATCATAAATGAGGTAGCATTTTTTTTTTTGCAATTTTTATACCTTTATTTGTTTATTTTGTGTGTGTGTGGTGCTGAGAATTGAATCCAGTGCCTCATACATGCTAGGCAAGTGCTCTATCACTGAGCTACAGCCACAACCCCTGAGCTAGCATTCTCGAAGCATGACGATTCAGAGCTCTGCCCATGGGTAGGCAGTATGTACAGAAGCAAAGGACACACAGAAACAGCCTGACTG